GCGATGTGATGATCTGTGAACTGGAAATTTGGGAGAATGCTAGCTAGCTAGCTAGCTTACTACTTTAAAATCAACATTGCACCATACATGTTTAATTTGGGGTTGATGGATATAGTACGAACGTTATTTCATCATCATCATCCTAATGATTGGCAAACTAGATAAGTTGGTACATATATAGCTAGGGTACTAGTGAACGTGTTTCAAACTATCTACACTTGAAGGCTAGCTGGCTAGCTTTGGAGATTGAAGCTAGTGTCGTTGTGCGACATGTAATAATGTGGAACATTAGGTTGTTTTAGTGTTAATCTCAACACTATTCTCCTAATTTCACATATAATCATATGTTGATTTTAGGTTGATTCGCGTACAGTGTAGGAATGCGCGCAATGGATCGGAACAATAACATGGAGGATGTGGTTGAGTGGAAGGGACTCATTCATTCTTAACCAAAGGTCAGAGTTCGATCTTTAGGCTTGTGTATGGAGCAATGAATTTCTAGGCCAGCTGTTCCACCCAAAAAAGACTATGTCCGACAATGGAAACCCTAGGTACACTCAAATGTCAAAGGTTTGATCCTTAGGCCTTGGTAACATTGTTGAGATAATTAATTGATATTCATTTTACTTAACTTAATATTCTAAAATTTGAGGAGTGAGGATGAACCACAGAATCATGAATTACAAAATTAAACTCATATTAACACTAAATTTTCCAGTTCCAAAGCGGCAAAGCCAATCATTTGAATTAATAAATGTACATCCTAAAAATATAAATAAATTAACAACAACACCACATAATAAATTATTAATTAATTAATCAACAAATAAAATTAAAGCATATACCCCACGGATGTTTTAAGTTAAGTTGGGTACTTGATAGTTGATACCTTTGTTATTGAAATCTTGAAAATTAAAATCTACGGTTTCTTGAGAGTAATAATAGGTATTCATCGTAGAACATTAGCTAGCTTATTCAGGTGGTATGCTTTATAATGATTACATTTAATAATAATAATAATAAAATTTAATTAATTAATTATCCGACTCATTATGCCTTACCCACACGATTATTAAACCACATTTGCAGTACAAATCAAGTTTTCATATTGCTTCAGTCTACACCAAAATCAAAGCTTATATAATATGCCTACACTTTTGCCTGTTCTAATAATAATTTGTATGAAAAAATATAGGTTAGAAAAAAAATATTTTTTTCCTTAAAAATGATATTATTAAATAGTTTAGAAATATGTATTTATTAATGTATTATTATCCAAGAAAAAAAAAAACATATAAGCAAAGAATCTCATACACAACATGGGAGGAGACGTGACTTAACAGCTATTGAATAAGCATATTTTTGAAAGTCAAATAATTATTAAATTTATAGATAAATTGTGTTAGTCATTTGAATAAATGCTCCTCCAGATTGCACTCTGACAATTTCTTATTATTTAGGGAAAAAAATTCATATTTTATATGCATAAAGTAATACGGAGTATTATTTTCATTCCTTAAATATTTAAAAAAAAAAAAAAAAAACAGTTTTTCATGTTTTTTTGTTTTTTTCGTACTTCTGAAATTTGGATTCCACATGTTCCGTACTGTTTCCCAGTCAAGGAATGGTAATTTCTAAATACTTAAATAATTAGTTTTTAATTAAGTATGTCGGTGATCAAATGTATTGATTAAAATAAGAAGAGACGTGAGTGGATTGCTATGGAATATGGATCATTAGTTTTTTTTTTTTTTTTTTTTTTTGAAAATCTATGGATCATTAGTTATTTTAACACAGATGGATCATTAGTTATTTTAACTTGCACTATGTTGACTTTTGATTTTGTTTTGTTTTTAACTAGAAAGTTTGATGTAGAAGTAGATGTTAAATTACTTGGTTTAACATAAAGTGATCAAGTTATTAATATGAATTTATGTAAAATAAAGATATAATAACGAATAAAAGAGACAATGATTTTTATGTAGATCTTTAATTTGTATGATTATGAGAACAATAATATTGTATATGATTATGGTTGAGGGTATTAATACTTATCAATCTTTAACTTTGGTTGTATTCTTGGTGAGCCAAGCATGAAGGTGTGCATAATACATGAGTTTAATTGACCACATCTAATATTATCAAATAGTATAAATATAATTAATTAAGAGGCTTGAACACTAACTTAAATAAGTATATAAAGCTTGTTTTATTTTTGAGTTACATACGTTTTTACCAGATATGTAAAAAAAGAAGAAAGGAAAACAATTTAATATCTTAATTTCTTCCATTTTTAAATTTTGATTTGTATTCCCTTTTGGGTTTTTGTGGAGAGATGGATATTGATGTCGAGAGAAGAAGGAACAAAGGTGCATGGAGATGACAGAAAGACTGAAATAAGAGCATGTGAGTTAACCTTTGAAATGGAGACACTACAAACATCTCCCATGCAATTTCACTACTGTATTGTATTATCAACTCTTTCTTTTTAATTTTATCTCTTTTTTACCAGACCACATATTTCCTCAGTCAGAGTACACTAGTTAATTGTATTTCTCATACTTGACTTGAATCCAAAACTTATAATTACAATGAAAGAAATTCATGTCATCTCATTTATATTGTACTCATATGTTAAAATGAGATAAAACAAATTTAGTTATAGGTCTTTTTCAGTGTAATCGCTACTCTTTTATTTATTTATTTTTATTTTACTTTTGGAGTGGGGGCTTGTGCATGTAAACATGATAGGATAGTCATTGAACATGTACATGTGGGGACTAATTCAGAAAAATAATAAAAATATATCAGAAATGGAAATTACACCATGGGATCTGAACTTCATCTCACGTAGGACAATGAAGGAAATAGAAAAGTTGAACGGTCACTATCCAAGTCATCTAAGAAATGAGTTTCACTACACAAGCTCTGTTCTTGAAAGTGAAAAGTTTTATTTATTTATTTATTCATATATGCTTACCTACTGTCCATTATTTCAAAAGTTATCCAATACCCAATTTTATTTTCTTATATATCTCTATAGTCACTAATGTCTCCAAGGTTAAACATGCAATGCATTACATTACTGTGCATGCATAGAAAGAATGCAGACAATAGGTCTTGGTATGCACTTCGTTTTGTAAATATATAAAAAGAGAAACACAAACAGACAAAATTTAATGTAGGAAACAGTGATATGAATGAACGTGGCAGAACTCAAGAACACCCAGTTTCAAGTGTGTTTAATTTCTCCCAATCCAAAATGTGTACCATAATTCTAAAAAATAAAATAAAAATGTGTACCATAAATTGACATTAATTGTGTTATATGCATAGTACAAACCAGCTGTTAATACCGACTTTGAGGCTTTATGGTCTCATATTCTAACTTTTTTAAAAACATATATCTTCACAGTACAGTTGTCATTGTTTGTTTCACTGGCTTCATCATTTTCGTCGTCGGTGTTGCCGTTGTCCTGCCTAGTACTTATGCTTCTTTCCTAAACGTTGTTACACAAGAATTAATTTTTGTTATATATCATTTGTTATTAGAGTCAGGTCAATTGAAGCATGTGCTTCATCTCAATTAAAAGTCTAAGCTGCTAGTTAGATTGCACATTTATGTTTATAAACTCTCTGACACCAAATTGAAGAGTATGTGTTCCATCTCAACTAAAAATCTAAGTTGATAGTTGGATTGCTATATACTCAACAAGGTCAAACTTCCAACTTAGAATTCCCATGCAACTCATTTAACACGATAAAAATTGTGTCTTGTAATTTTGTGTTTTGGTATGTGGGCTCATGCAAATTACGATATCATTAAAATAACTAAGAAATTGTTTGATTAGTAATTATCGAAAAAATTAACAATTGGAAACGGTGGTTTAGGGAGGATTTGGTTCATATTTTTTGAATTTGAAATGAATGGACATGTGTAAATGAAAGCGAATCAACGTTAGAAGTTGGATACTTGGATGGGGTGGTTATTAAAGCAGGGAAAATTAGTTAATAAACTGCGGGCACCTAAATGTTTTAGGTTAAATTCAAGTAGACAAGATTTATAGTTGTTGCTAACTTTTGTCCAACAATAGCTGTTACGTTTTCAATATTATCTTTCAACACGCTTTTATATATTGTCCAAAAAAAAAAGATGAGAGAAAAATCATTAATGATTACAGGACAATGTAAAAAATTAAAAAAAAAAAAAATCAGATACACACAATAAAATTTTTTGTTGATGACTGTTTGAACTTAGGTATGCAAGTGGTTGGAATCTTGAAGATAAGCTACCCAGCTCAAAATGTAAATGCATGTTTTTTAAAAAAAAAATATTTTCCATTAAATTATGTACGTATAATATGGTAGCTTTTAGCATTGAAACAGGCTTTTATCTACTCCACCTATATACCCTTTTAATGCAACTAGGCAGGTCTGCCAATAGGTGCATTAGGCCAATCTTTATTTACACGGTTGAATTTTGGAGGTCTATAAAGCTAAGTTGTTGTTGAGGTGCATGGGAGAAGATATGGTAGGTTGGATTTGAAGCATTCATGAATTGCTATGCTGGCTTCATTTCATTCACCGGCCCCCAATAATTGCTCCGAAAGCAACGTTGTTTTGATTGCTCTAATACTAAATTAAAAAAACGTGTTTCATTTTAACTAAAAAGATTGAAACGTCAAATTCAATCGAGCCAAAATGATATTGGAGTGAAAAGAACTTGGTTTTGTACAAGTAATAGTTACAACATATAAAACAATGGATAGTGTACTTGAAATAATGTAACTCTTTTCCCCAGTTTCCAAAACCCCTTAGTTCTGCAAAAGATAGTATCTATAAACAATTGAAAAAACGAAGGTCTTTCTCAACTCAGGTATTTGTACATATTCATTCAGGTATTCAAATGATTCCTAATAGTTACATAGACCTTCATTCATGTAATGGAAGGTTAGCTACAAACATTTTCTTTTTTTTTTTTTTTTTTTTTTTTTTTTTTTTTTTTTTTCTGATCAGATGTCAGATGCCATTTTTTTCTACAAAGGAATAATGTGGCAACTTGTAATAGAAGAAGAGATATCAATATCAGGAAAACCAAAATCTACTGTCAAAATGCTGCTATATATGCAATGAAGATGCAAACATGATTTAATTTGTATAATGAAGGAACCAAAATCTACTGTCAAAATGCTCATTGCTCCGGTGGACTTGCCTCATCAAACCATCTCGGGGGATCGAAGCCAGATCCTCCTGTCATAGTTAAATGACGACGATGATGATAACAAATATTATTTATCAATTAGGTATAACCACTAAATATATTACAAGAGTTCAATATGCATTAACAACCAAACAAAAGCAACAGATAATATTGGATAGATACAAGGTTAATACAAGTTCCAACTAGGCCAATTTAATTTTTTTTTTTTTTTAAAGAAGAAATATTACCCAGAGGATTACAGCGACAGAGACGCCAAGCAGTCAAGACTGTCCCCTTCACAACTCCATATTTCTTGTAAGCAATCATGGAATACTCACTGCATGTAGGAATGTATCGACAGCTATTTGGCAACAATGGTGAGATTTCTCCTGCTCAATACCCAATTCTTAAGCCAAACCAATATATATAAATGCCAATTTAAATATAACTGTAAATAATTTTGCTTCTATCTGGATAGTTACCCAAAAAAAAAAAAAAAAACTCACTTTTGTAGAACTTGAGCATAGACAATGCAGCTTTAACCCCCAAATTATTCACTTCCTCATCTGAATTAAAACACACAGGAAACTCAATTCATAAATTCAAGTTGGAAACTTTCTACATCAAAAATGCCCTCCCCAGTGTGGCAGAGTGTAGGAGCTGACCTTGAGAGCTGCTATGGCTGGAGTCTTTCTCTGCCCCATTAGCAATAACCAAACGACTCTCCTTCGCCCACCTTATCTGCAAACAGAGAACAGATTAAAAACTAACAAATCCAAAACATGACATCAATAATGGGTTTTCAATAATAATTAAATAAATTAAAAAAAAAAAACAATACAAAGGAAAAGAACCAGACTTTTTTGTTGGGAAAGAGATGATTGAAGTGACGAATTTGGTTAGGAGAAACTAAAGGGGAATTGAAATTAGGGTTCGGTGGAGAAAATGGTTTGTGAAAGAGGGTACAGTTTAGGGATACCGCGAGCGCCATTTTTTGACACGAGTTTATCAGAGGAAAGATATCAATGGGTCACCATTCTTGATCAGCTGGGATGCGGGTACACCGTACACCAACATATGTAGTGAAAGCTGTTGTCTTAATCTTAATGGGTTTACACATTATTATCTGAGCATGTGTATTAAGTAAGTCCCACTTAACAAGGTAAATTAGCTTAAGATAATTGATCAGAATCAAATTGTAACTTGTAGTTACAAAAATTTCCAAGAAAATGAATCTAAAGCCAGTAATATTTAACAGCCAAAAGAGCCCATGTATTATATAAAGACAAATCTAGGATTGTTCAGACTGTTCAGTAATACAATCCTGGAGCAATACATTTTGAATTGAGTCTGACAATTGTCACAAGGCAATTACATATGTGATTTGCAAATTGTGGATCAACATTTGATCTAGGCATAAAACAACTGGAAAAGATGATGGTTCAAAGTTGATGCAGCAAATTAGAAGCGGGTGGTCACTTGGGCAAAAAGGGCCTTAAAATCCTTAGTTGGTGTTCCAGTACCCTCAGGTTTTGAGCCCAAATCGAATGCCTTGGATTTCGCCTCATCGAACAGTACAGCCTGCCAATATGAGAATGGAGTTTATGAGGTAACGAAATGGTGCTATTACAAAGAGCATAGGAGCAAAACGAATTAAACGATACCTGAATGCAGACTTCTGCAACATCAGCCCTGGTAACAGTTCTATTCTCTGTCTGAAGAAGTTCATCGTCCTTTCCAACAAGTAGCTCCCGCTCACCACCATTCTTATCTTGCAAGCCCCCGGCTCTGCACAAACCAGAGAGGTTAAAGTTACAAATACCGAGAATAACTGCAATAGAGTTAATACCAAGAACCCAAAACGATAGTCTGCACACTCGCAAAAATGTGAAGGGAGAGAAGGGTTACCTAATAATGGTATATGGGACTCCAGAGTCCGCTAAATACTCTTCAGACTTCCTCTTCCAAATCTGTAGTCATAAGTTCTAGATCAAAACCGTTTCAACACAGAGAGCAAGACAAACAGAGAACGAAAGAAACAAAAAAGTCAAAGCAAGCTCAGGTTACAAGTAGGCACCAGTCATGTCATATTTTCTCTTTACCCTGAAAGAAACAAGTTCTATTCTTATCTTTTATTTGTCATAACAATTGCTGTTATATACTATTTTTTTTCTTCAAGAAAAGCTTTTCATGCATACTATCAAAGAAAAGGTAGATTCCATGGTTGCACCACAAATCTTTATCATTTTGATAGCTAATTGCATCATACATCTTAGAGTAGATGGTGATGCAAGTCTAACCATGGAAAGAAAGACGGTTAGGAGAGCATCAGATAGCACAAGCACCCTTTGAATAGCACACAAGGACACAGAAGAAGGACGGATTATGCAATAAAGATTTAAGGAAAATGAGTAGTCCACACACCAATATGTTTCCATTTCCTAAGGTGTTCAGGGGGTGGTTAGGATTTGTTCCTCCCATTGACCCAACCAGCACAATATGCTTTACTCCTGCGGCCTTAGCTGTAAATTGATAATGATTCAACAATACAAACATTATTCAGAATTTGGATAAGTTCAATTTAGATAAATAAAAATTCACAGCCCTCACCAGTATCTATTTGATTCTTCTGCCCAATCCAGTCCACCTAGAATAGATCAATCATATCATTAGTAAGGTGTGAGAAAGATAAAACGGAAATACAAATTGAGAACAAGTTCAACTGTAAAGCTCACTTGTTCAGGGGATAATCCATCTTCAAAGTAGAACTCTGGCCTTTCACCTTTAGATGGATCGAAACCTGGTTTCATCTTTGGCACAGCACTTGTAAGAATTATAATAGCATCGATACCCTGAATTGCAGGAACTATGCTCTCAGCATTCCTTATATCACCAATGTAAATATCATCTGCGCCACCAATTCTCGCCTTGCTCTCCTCACTTCTCACCAAACCTCTTGTAATATACTTGTCTGAATTCTCCCTCAACTTCTTATACACAATTTGCCCTGTCATCAACAGAAAAGTAAGTGAACAAACAACTTTGGAAGACATGATTTTCAAAGAATGTTGCATTTATGTGCTACAGTAATAACATGATAAAGATAAAGACTTTACTTCCAACTAAACAACCTAAACGACCACAAATTTCTGGTAGCATTCTCATAATATGAGGACTCTAAGAACCAAAGTGATCAAACTTTTGTGATCTTGAGACTGCCTTCATGAACAAGTTCAGAGAAAGATAAACAGCAAAACTTGATCATGAATCATTATTATCCATTTGGCATTCTAATGCTACAAATGTTTCCACCAATGATTACTTTTTGCCTTTTAATTATTTGATAGATAGGCAATATAACACAAATGCAATCCAATGTTAATATCGACCGAAAGAGCTTCACTACAGAAAAACTCAAGGTACTTAAAAAGTTCCTAACCTCTAATTCGATAAAGGATCCAAATTTGGGATATGAACACCTTTTTTCTCACTATTCTAAGCTTTCTCGGTCACATTTCAACTGACCCGAAAGGCCAATCCAGCAATTCAATTCGTGATACTCTAGCAAATATCAAATTACGATGCTTTCTCGTAATACTTCCAATATTAGCAAGAGAAATGTATAAGCCCAGTTTTCAATTCAACCCATCAGAATCGCGCGAATTTCGCTAAAAGGTACAGATAAGGCAAAATCAATGGAACCCTTTTATGAATACACATAGAAAGTCCAAAACGGCATATATCCGATTACAACGAAGGAAAAAGATGGGAAATCTACCGGTTCTGCCACCAGCTCCGGTAACAAGAACGGTTCTTTTACCATCAGCCATGGCCACCAACTAAAAATTGCCAGATGCTCTCCTGGTTCTGCTTCGTCTTGTAACTGAACTCGATGGAGCAAGAGCAGATTGTTCTCGATTTCCAGATTTTCGCTGCTAGTTGAAGCAGCAATCAGGACACGTGTTAAGACTAGCAGTTTCTCTTATGTGAATAATTGTAAAAGTGACATAAAATTTAATTTAAGGGGTATTTAGAAATCAAGAAAATGAATTCTGAAAAATTACTTATTTTTTGTTTTGTTTTTTGTTTTTTTTGTTTTGTTTTTTTTTTTTTTTTTTTTTTTTTTTGGTTATACTTTGGAAAATGTTTTGGTATGTTTGGTTATTTTTATAAAAGAAACAGATTTGTATAATTAAACATTTGTTTCATTCCTTTCCATTCAAAACATTGGTTTCATAAATAAAAATTAGTATTGTTTATAAAAAAAATTAAAAAATGAACAATGGTAAATGGTTTCATTAAAAAAAAAATGTTTGGAAATAAGATGTGGTTTCCAGCTTCGAATTGGTTTTCGTCGGATACCAATTTTTTTGATTTTCGTGGGGAACCACTCTACCATTGTTATAGGACCGTCCGAAGATGGAGCAGGCTGCAGTGGAAAATTACTTCCCAAAAAAGACGAAGTCATTTTTTTAAAAATTGACTTTGATTTTCTTTGACCGGAAATCAGTCATTTTTCAGAAAATATTTTTCATTTACAGTGTTGGGTTCATTATGAAAAACCGCCTTGGTGTGTTTGGTTAATTATTTTATTTAGAATATAAAATATTTATAATAATATTAAGTATAATTTTATTTATTAAAAATTATATTAAAAAATATCATTGGTTTCTGGCAGACCGGAAACCTTGTTGTGCGTTTGGTAGAAAATGACTTTCGCCAAATTTTGGTGGAAATCATTTTCCCAAAATGACCTTATTTTGTTCCGTCAACGAAAATGTTTTCCAAACACTGAAAACTTGAAAAATAATTTATAGAAATCATTTTTCGAATTTTAAACACACTCTTAGAGAAAGTATGTCTTGAAAAAAAAAATTGAAAATGACTTTCCTACGTTGTTGTTGTTGTTCTTATTATTATTATTATTATTATTATTATTATTATTATTATTTTTTTTTTTTAAATTTTCATTGTTTGATTATCTAAAAAATTTGAAATTAACCTAAAATACCTATTCAAATAAAAAAGGATTATTTTCAATATAAAATGTGTTTAAATTTTTTTTTTTGAAAGAGACTTTTCATATTTGTTTCTCAAACTTAGTTCTCGCCATGAATTTTATCAAATGACAAATTCGAGATAGTTTACCATTTACTCATTTACTATTGACAAAATTTTAGGTTGAACTTAGTCCACACAGTGCTGTGCGAATTATAAAAAAAAAATATTTTTAATATATTAAACGTACATTATTTGAATACTGAAAGTATTATTTATTATTCAAATAATGTATTATCTCTGAATACAAAATATATTTTTAATATACTAAAAAGAATATAGTAATATGCAAAATATAGTATATTAAAAATAATACAACAGATAATTAGTGAATAATGGGAAATTAATTAATTTTTAAAGATGTGTATGTAGCATTTATCACACGTTAGAAATTAGAAAAAGAAGTAAATTTGCATCACTATATATAATAAGGAATTTGAATTGTAATTTTTGGGATCGGAAGTAATATTATTCACAGTGTACAAGTGATCCCTCCCCCAAATCCTATATACAAGTGATCCCTCCCCCAAATCCTCAGAAGTTCATTGCCTTATCGAAAAGTAATCCCTCCCCCCATTGCCTGCAGGCTGCAGCTATTATAAAGGCAAATTACACACCTATCCGCCTTGCCACCCAACCTTAACCGCAGATCAGATCAGAGAAGTGAAAAATTAAACAGACATTTGGAAACCTAACATGGATTCTACTGCAGCTGCAGGAGGAGTCGAAATGTTGAAAAGGGATATTCCACCAGCTCATTTCATATTTATGATACGTTCATTTTCTTTACTCTCTGAAACAGGGAACGAGAAACATGAATCTGGAGTTTTCCAGGCCTGTGATAAAAAATGGTACACCCTACGACTATATATATATATGTTAATTTCCTGTATGGTGCTATGCATATATAAGATGTTGGAGGAACAGTGAGGCGGTTTCACTAAATGAAAACTCATTGGGGCTTCGATCAGCTACTTCCCTTGTCCACTTTTAACGATCTCTCTAATGGATATTTGGTTGATGACACATGTGCATTTGGAGCTGAGATTCTTGTCATTTCCAATGCTACAAAACGCGAATGTCTTTCGATGGTGAAAGATCCATCAAGCAAAACTTACACATGGAAAATAACCGACTTTGCATCAAAAAGGAACCAACTTTTCATATATTCTGATGAGTTCACCATTGAAGGAAGCAAATGGTACCTAAGTTGTGCCCTTTTACTTTGGTCAATATATATGATTTGGCATGCATATATGCATTTCTAAAATCCCCTCAAGTAATATAATGTGTACGAATTGAAAATGCTGCGAGCAGGAAGCTGAATGTCTATCCCAGTGGACAATCAACTGCAAAGGGCAAATCTTTGTCCCTCTTTCTGGAGTTGGTCGATTCATCAAAGCTTAAGGATCTTGGTAGAAAATTATATGCAGAGTATAAGTTGCGGATATGCAATCAATTGAACAGCAGTGAACACAAAGAAAAAAAAGGTTACCCTTTTGCTCATATATCCAACCTATCATTTGTACATATATATATATATATATATATATATATATATATATATATATATATATATATATAGTAGTTTGAGTTAATATTGTTGGGTCTTATTTATACTTCATCTGTCCTATCCTATTCTATTCTATTCATCCATCTTATTTATTCATAAATAAATTGTGCAGTGGAATATTCTTTTGGTGCCTCTGCAGAATTCACAGCCTATGGCTTTTCCAACTTTATGTACCATGACGAATTGGAGAGTGCTACAAAAGGTTTCCTAGTCAATGACACTCTAGTTGTGGAAGTTGAATTTATGCTTTTGACTAAGTTCTCGGAATTCTAGTTAGCTACAATTATATATATTGTTTCTATAGATTTCATTCATCATATTGCTGTGTAATATGCATGTATTCTTCGGGAATATAATATTTCATTACGACTATTGAATTGTAAGCAAACTTTAAAAATCCTCCTTAATTTTAAAAAGTATTTAATGGACGCAAGTATTCACACAAATTCATGATTTAAGATATTATATTTTATTTTGGAATTCGTTGTAAACAAACTTTAAAAATTAAAAGGAAAACTAATTTACGACAAACTATTCCTTGGTATCTTAGGGTGCGCTTGGTTCATGAGTTTACACCTCTAAAAATGAGAATCAAAATCATAATTTTTGTTTAGTTGATAACTGTTTAAAATACAATTATGAGATTTGATTACTTCTCCTTCAATTAAAATCAATATTTTCTAATTAAATGTATTATTCCATTTGATCCCCCTCATCTGTCACTACCCTACCTCTCCTTCAATTAAAAATTACATTTCCTAATTAAAAACGCCTATCATTCCATCTTATCCTTCGTTATTTGTCACCTTCTAATCTGTCGCCTCCTTACTATATCCCTCATATTTTTATTCTTATTTTTTGTTCATATTGGTGCTTTAATTTGAATGCCATTATATTAAAATTAATTGCTTTGATTTTTATTTTTTTAGATTTAATTAATTTTTTAAAATTTATCCAGAATTACATATTTAGTTGTTACAGAGTGCATATTTAAAAAGTGAGGTTGACGATAATTACAAAAATACCCTTACATATTTTTAAAATTTGATCTATCCATACTAAGATTAGTTCTTAGTTTTTCTTCGAGGTGTGTTCTCAAGGGATCATAAGCCTATATGATTTAGCAGGCATTTTTGAAATCAAGGAAGTGCAGGAAACTGAAGCTCTATCCCAGTGGATATAGTAGTGCGAAGGGCAAACATTTGTCCCTCTTTCTAGAGTTGGCTGATTAATCAGACCTTGAAGATCATGCTAGAAAATTATTTGCAAATCGTACGTTGCGGATATGCAATCAATTGAAGAGCAGTGGACACCAGGAAACACAAGGTTACCCTTTCGCTCCAATCCAGCAAACTTATCATTTTGATGCATCGAGTTAATATTGTTATACTCATCATCTCTCCTATTCTATTCCTCTTATATATTCATAAATAAATTGTGCAGGTTCAGCTTTTTATGGTGTTGGCTCTTCAGCAAGCTCTATCTGGGGCTATACCAACTTTATGAACCTTGATCAATTGGATAGTGCTACAAAAGGTTTCCTAGTTAATGACACCCTAATTGTTGAAGCTGAATTTATGGTGTTGTCCAACTTCTCAGACTTTTGATCTGCTACTGTACTACTCTTGTGAAATTTCAATTTGTGATTGTTGTTGCAGACTTGCAGGACATAGTAATATATATTCACACATTATTTGATTTTCATCACAACATAATTAGCATGCCAAAGTACTGCTCAAACTCTTTGTCAATTGTTAGTTTTTTTGTACCTTCTTCAGTGTCTGCATTCAACAAAAAGGAGATTAGCTAGCTAGGTTCCTATTCAGATTATTGAGGCAAAAAAAAAAATTAAAAAAAATGAAGGGTTTTTAAATTTAAACTTGAGTTGAATAGAGATGTTATGAGTGTTTTCAGAATTTCAGAGAACAAAATACATACCTTGGCCAACTTCCCATCTCCCTGATGAGAGAACAAAATTGTTGGGGGTGATACCATTTGAGTATAACATATCTTCAACTTCCTTATCTGTACACGTTTCAATGTTCTCATTTCCACATTCTGAGCAACTGCACTCTACATGGCTTTCAAAGTCCAATAGATGGTCCTCGTAATTCAAAGAATGAGGACGCCATCCAAAATTCTGATCCAGAAAATCACATTCAAAAGTTCTGGTTTCATTACCTTTATTGCTTAGTAAAGAAAATTGAAAATTGATAGGATAGTGTGGTTCACACGTCTTCAGACAATGATACAAATAATGAGACAATGATACAAATAAAAATGGATTCGGTCTTTGGTTCACACGTCTTCAGTACTCAAATATTGTATTTTATATATACAAATAATGTATTTTTTATTTGTGGACCATTGTCCATAGAATAATGAATGTTTACCATTTGGATTGGATTGTCTTGAGTTGGGCCAAACAATAAAAATCGCTCGACTTGTCTCATAACCCAAAAACAATAAAGAGTATTATTTTGTATTTTTAAAAAATAAAAAATTAAGTTCAAAATTATTAAATTGAACCATATGTATTATTTGACTTGAAAATTTAAGATTACTCCATATCTAAAGTCAATAATAGAATTCTTGATATGCTTTGTGGGGTCGGAGTGTGTGGGGCTATTAGAGTTGCGGTTCAACCTTTTGGAAGAATAATCGAATTCTTGACATTTGGTTAATAAGGATGAATGAGACATCATCCATCTATTATCCTGGAGATGAGATGGAAGCAATCCTTTATTAATTTATTCAATGCCTTGTGTGCAAGTGATCCCTTCCCCAAATCATATCCTCAGAAGTTCGATCATTGCGTTTTGGAAAAGTAATCCTCCCACCCAACCCCATTATATTATATATATTGCCCGCAGCTATATATATATATATAATATGTTATATATAAAGCTAGGCAAATTACACACACGTATATAGTACCTTAGCTATATATCCGCCTTAAATTAATTGCCACTTATTAATTTCACAGTACAAACAGTAATCCCCCTACAGCCACCACCCAACTTAACGCAAGATCAGATCAGAGAATTGAAGTTCAAACACTAGAGACATGGATGTTTCTACTACTGCAGGAGGAGTCGAAATGTTAAAAAGGGATATTCCACCAGCTCACTTCATATTTATGATACGTTCATTTTCGTTACTCTCTGAAACAGGAAATGAGAAACATGAATCTGGAGTTTTCCAGGCCTGTGATAAAAAATGGTACACTGGCTTAGCTTGGCCCTAGCCCCACTCTCATCTTGTTTTAACTAACTTATTGCTAATTATTATATATAGAATTGAGGAGGAGGATTTCGATCTCATTCATATATACTATATATAACGCCTTAACTCTAGCGTGCGCCCTCGCTTTAATTATATTATATTTATTTGGTGTAGGAGGTTATGTGTTTATCCCAAGGGAAAGAAGAAGCAGCAGGCAGATAATGGAGATAATGGAGATGGTCATATCTCCCTCTACTTACAAATTGTTGATACTCATAATTTTTCTCCAGGATGGGAAGTTTACGCTAAGTTTAGTCTCTTTGTTTATGATCATGTTCAAGATAAATATTTGACAGTCAAAGGTATGTAAGTATATATACATATATACGTACAAAATTTAAGCAATAATCTTTCTTATTATGTTTTCCTGCATGGTGTTTTATATATATAGATGCTGGAGGAAAAGTGAGGCGGTTTCACTATATGAAAACTGAATGGGGATTCGATCAGCTACTCCCTTTGTCCATTTTCAACGATCCCTCCAATGGATATCTGGTTGATGACACATGTGCATTTGGAGCTGAGATTGTTGTGGTTTCCAATGCTACAAAACGCGAGTGTCTTTCGTTGGTGAAAGATCCAAAAAAGAACACATACACTTGGAGAATAAGCAACTTCGCATCAAAAAAGACCCAACAGTTTATTTACTCTGATGAGTTCACCATTGAAGGAAGCACATGGTACATACATAACATACCTAGCTTAGCTACTATACGTTATGTCCTTTTACTTTGGTATATATATATATATATGAATTGGGATTTCTAAAATCCCGTTAAGTAATGTATGTGTAAGAAATTAAAGTATGTACGTGCAGGAAGTTGAAGGTCTTTCCCAGAGGAGATTCAAGTGCGAAGGGCAAATATTTGTCCTTCTTTCTGGAGTCGGCTGATTCATCAAATCTTACAGTTAATGATAGAAAATTATATGCCAAGTATAAGTTACGAATCTGCAATCAATTGGACCAAAGAGAAGACCAGGAAAAGGAAGGTTACCTTTCGCTCCAATCCAACATATCATTTAATTTCTAGTTTGACTTCAAACACACACACATACATATATATATATATATATTTGTTTGGTTTTTAATTTAATTTATACTGATATGTCCTATATTTGATTTATTCATACATAATAAATTGTGCAGCGACATGTTTTTTTGGTGGGTCTCCTGCGGTCACCAGATGGGGCTATTACTACTTTATGCTCCTTAACCAATTGGAGAGTGCTGCAAAAGGTTTCCTACTTAATGATACCCTAATTCTGGAGGTTGAATTTATGTTTTTGACTAAGTTCTCAGAGTTTTAGCTACAATTTCTGGATTATGTAATATGATTTTATTTAACACTGTTACTGTACTTGAAATTATTGACAATCAAACTTACAAAGAAAAACTAATGATTTATTATGACATAATTACATAATTATTGCTAACTATCTCTCTATCCCAGTATACGAAAAATATAATGAAATTCTCGCTATTCAATAATAATTTATTATATTGTACAAAGGGAAAAAACCATTAATTATATATATTGTTTTAACTCGATCTTTTTGATCCCTATTCTCTCTTTTTGATATATATAAGAAGATAAGATTGAAGAAAATAAATTAGTATTATATGTTATATTAGTTAAACTCGTATACGATCAATTGCTTAGGTATATAGTATACAACTATTAATTCAAAATATGTAAAGCCGTAATATTTAACAAAGGGTATGCATATGTCGATGTAATTTTGATATTTTATTGAAATTGTTAAATTAATTGTGAAATATATAGTAAAATTTTAATAAACATATAACGTAATAGTTATTCATATTGTAAAAAAGAATCTACAATGTTATGTGGGCTCGGATCCATGATATAAATAAATTGTCATGCATAATAATTTTAGCCGGTTTGCAAAGTAGGAGTATAAACGAGCCGAGCCTAGCTCGAGCCTGAGCAGGCTCGAGCTCGAGCTTATTAATGGAATCTCGGCTCGAGCTCGGCAATTTTCGAGCTGCTCGAGCAACTCGATTGTTTGAGCTCGAACTCGATCTTGAACTTGCGTTCGAGTTTGATCTTGAACTTTTTAATTGTTATTTTTATATATTATAATTATATTATGTTATATTATATATTATAAATATTATATATTATACGGCTCGCGAGCGGCTCGAGCTCGATTATCAAATGAGCTGCTCGAGCACGACTCGAGCTCGAATCGAGCTTTGATCGAACCGCTCACGAGTAGCTCGCGAGCGACTCGGCTCATTTACCCCATATTGCAAAGTGACTTGCATCCCACAAGCCCACTATGCCCACTTTTTCATGGGCCAAATTTTTTTTTAATACTAACTCGCCCCACCGCAAAGGTTAAGGCTTCCCCAACCCTCTTTCACAAATCGTTATACCGTGTGTCAAGGCGCATATAGCAATATGCATCCCGCACCTTTTTAAATGACGCCATTTTGTTAAGCTATGTGGAGAGTTGACGCGACATAGTGTATGTGCATTCTGTTATATAATTATGTATATTATGTTATGTAATTATGTACATTATGTTATACAATTATGTACATTTTTTTATACAATTATGTACAATTTTTTTATACAATCATGTACATTTTTTTATACAATTATGTACATTCGTAACAAAAAAATTATGTGTATTATGTTAAGAGTTTATGTATATAATGTTAAGAGTTCGTGTGTATTATGTTAAGAGTTCATGTGTATTATGTATTATGTTAGATTATGTGTATTATCTTTTCAAAAAAGAGTATGTGTATTCTGTTATGCAATTATGTACATTCTATTATACAATTATTTACATATTCAAAACATGAGATTTTTTTTAAGAACTTAGAGCATCCACATTTGTTGGGGAGAATTGGGGGATAATGTAAGAGTGATTAGGAAAGAGAATATGGGAGGGGAGAGAAAAAAAAAAAGGGAAAAAAAAAAGAAAATTAAATTTAAAAAAAAAATAAAAATTAAGACGGTCAGGCGCGCCTGACGCGCCAGATGGGCACGTGCACTGCACGCGCCCGCTGTGCGCGTGCACTGCACGCGTGGCTGTCACCAGTGGTGTTTTATTTTACTTTTTGTGGTGGGTCTCACCATTTCTGAATTCTCCCTTCATTTGCAGGAGAGTTATTTCTCAAATAATTCTTCCCCACATTAGCTATTATCTTGGATGGGGAGAATTAATTCTGAAATAACTCCATATAATCCACAAATGTGGATGCTCAACAGCTGACACAGAAAGCAAATTTTTTTTTTTTTAAAAAAAGTATAAAACAACGTTGTTTTGCACTAGAGTGCACAATGCAATGTGCGCATTGGTGCAAGATATAAATTGCCCTCTTTCACACCCTTAGTTGCTTTATATTCATCAACTCAATTAAACAAAAACTATTTTAATTCAATCTACTTAATAATGATCCCTTAGCTTTTTAGTTTACAACCATTATGCATTTTAAGGGACTATTTTGTGGTACAAATATATGTGGAGTCCACTTCTAATTTGAGTAGGGTCAACGTAGATTTGAGTTTTTCGCAGTGAGACGAAAAGATTGATATATTATACGCTCAAAACGGATAATTAGTAAATGAAAAATTAATTTTCAAAATAAACCCATTTGAGTTGAAAAATAGATGTAGGAAAACTTATATGCAACATTTGTCCCACATTGAAAATTGAAAAAAGAAATAAGTTTGCATCACACTATATATAGAATACCCTTTTATAGGCAAATAACACGCCTATCTGTCTATATATATCCGCTTTGACACCCAACCCTAGATCAGAGAAGTGCAAAACAGACGTTTGGAAACATGAATTCTACTGCAGGAAGAGGAGTCGAAATGTTGAAAAGGGATATTCCGCCGGCTCATTTCATATTTATGATATATTCTTTACTCTCTGAAACAGGGAGCGAGAAACATGAATCTGGAGTTTTTCAGGCCTGTGATAAAAAATGGTACACCCCACTATAAAATGGTACACCCCACTATATTTATAGTTTAGCGCTTTCATATATTGTATAATATAACCTCTTAACTCTAGCGCTTTAATTATTATGTGCTATACTTGGTGTAGGAAGTTATGTGTTTATCCCAAGGGAAAAAAGAAGAAGGCAAATGGAGATGGTTATATCTCCCTCTACTTACAAATTGTTGATACTATAATTATCCCGTGGGATGGGAGGTTCAGGCTAAGTTTAGTCTCTTTGTTTATGATCATGTTCTGGATAAATATTTGTCAATCCAAGGTACATATATAGATATGTGTCAATTATTCCTGGCCAGAAATTTTATATATATTTGTACAAAATTTAAGCAATAATCTTTGTTATTATGTTAATTTTGTTCATGGTGCTATGCATATGTAAGATGTGAGGCGGTTTCACTATATGAAAACTCAATGGGGCTTTGATCAGCTACTTCCCTTGTCCACCTTGTCCACTTTTAACGATCCCTCTAATGGATATCTAGTTGATGATACATGTGCATTTGGAGCTGAGATTCTTGTCATTTCCAATACTACAAAACGTGAATATCTTTCGATGGTGAAAGATCCAACAAGCAAAACTTACACATGGAGAATAAACAACTGCGCATCAAAAAAGAACCTTGTCATAAAATCTGATGAGTTCACCATTGAAGGAAGCAAATGGTACCTACGTTACGTTGTGCCTTTTTACTTTGGTCAATATATATATGATTTGGCATGCATATATGCATTTATAAAATCCCCTTAAGTAATGTAATGTGTAAGAATTGAAAATGCTGCGGGCAGGAAGCTGCAAGCCCATCCCAGTGGACATTCAAGTGCAAAGGGCAAATGTTTGTCCCTCTTTCTGGAGCTGGTTGATTCATCAAAGCTTAAAGATCAGGGTAGAAAATTATATGCAAAGTATAAGTTGCGGATGTGCAATCAATTGAACAGCAGTGAACACAAAGAAAGACAAGGTTACCCTTTTGCTCTCAGCTCATATCCAACTTATCATTTGTACATATATATAGTAGTTTGAGTTAATATTGTTGAGTCGTTTTTATACTTCATCTGTCCTGTCCTATTCTATTCTATTCCTCCATCTTATGTATTCATAAATAAATTGTGCAGTGGAATATTCTTTTGGCGCCCCTGCAGAATTCACAGCCTATGGCTTTTCCAACTTTATGTACCATGACGAATTGGAGAGTGCTACAAAAGGTTTCCTAGTTAATGACACTCTAGTTGTGGAAGTTGAATTTATGCTTTTGACTAAGTTCTCCGAATTCTAGTTAGCTACAGAACATATGAAAACTTACATTATCATAATGTTTATGATAATGTTCATTATACATTACTATTAATTGTTGCCTACACTTACATAGATGTTAGCAGAAAAGTGAGGCGATTTCACAATATGAAAACTGAATGGGGTTTTGATCTACTACCCTTAGCTTGTCCACTTTCACAATCATCCCTTGTTTATTAAGTGCTAAAATTTGAAAGAAACAAATACATATATAAAAGGTGCAGAGCAGATACCAGAAAGAAGCAGTAAGCAATTGAAACAGAAGAAAAGCATACATACATGGATCGGGCGATGTACAAAATTCAGTTTCAGATTGGTTGGTTACCTTGTTGCAGGACATACTAATATTCACACAATTGATTTTCATCACAACATAAGCATGCCAAAGTACTGCTCAAACTCTTTGTCAATTGTTAGTTTTTTTGCACCTTCTTGAGTGTCTGCGTTCAACAAAAAGGATATAATATTAGGTTCCTATTCAGATAATTGAGTTGCATAGAGATGTTATGAGTATTTTCACAATTTCAGAGAACAAAATATATACCTTGCCCAACTTCCCATCTCCCTGATGAGAGAACAAAATTGTCGGGGGCGATACCATTTGAGTATAACATATCTTCAAGTTCCTTATCTGTACACGTTTCAATGTTCTCATTTCCACATTCCGAGCAACTGCACTCTACATGGCTTTCAAAGTCCAATAGATGGTCCTCGTAATTCAAAGAACGATGCCATCCAAAATTCTGATCCAGAGAATCACATTCTTTACTGACATGCGTTCGTTCTGTTCTATGTGAATCTGATTTTGTCATTGATCTGCTCTCCAAAGAATACAAGGCATCCTTGGACCAACTGCTACCCAAGTTAGCCGATGAAGTGGAAGGGCAGTTAGACGACGGGCATGCTTTCAGAAATTCAAGATCATCGACTTTAGCTTCACCAGACATGACACAATCAATGTCTTCAATAAAACCATTGCTCCCTTTTCCAGACTGGGTTTCAAGTTCATTGTCTTGGTTGTTAACTAACGAGCTATATCTCGTAACAAAGCTTTGATCAGCACACATATGCTTTGGCAGAGGCATGCCCAGTTGTTCAGCTCTAAGCTTCCTTTTCTTGTTCAAGCAAGCAAGGCTGGCATGTATCACCACACCCATGTGTTTACTGCCATATGGATGTTCACCAAAAAAGGAATATGAGAAAGTGACATCATTTTTCCACAGAAGGATAAGCCATAACCAATTTTCACAATTAATTAAGTGGAAGTTAAGGAAGATGGATTAAGTAGTGCAATAAAAGCTCAGATTTTCGCCAATAAAACTTAGTAGGTTAGATTCACCAAGCTAACCAAGAAGCAATGGTGTATTAACTATTAAGACATCACTGGCATAGCCCTCTTTCTGCAGATGACTACACTTTTTTTTTTTAAAAAAAATTTAGTTCTAAATAAAGAAATCGGGATTCTGAATCACACAAAGTTTCAATCTTTACAACAAATCAGACATTTTTCCGTGGACTTAATCCCATTCCTCCAAGAAACAAGGCAAAAATGGGGGAACACAATTCAAGAAAACAGATCCGTCTGATCTGTAAGAGCTACAAAACCAATCGATCATCATATCCTCAAAAGCAAAGTACTTGAGAGCTTCCAGAATCAAAAAAGCATTACACAGTGAAGAATGAAATGAAGTAGAAACTAGAAACTAGAAAGCATGCAATTGAAGGCGAGTGAGAAAGCTTGAAAAGAAAAGAAATGAAATCAAGAACCCAAACCTGGTGACCTCAGTTGGGGAATCAATATTTCCTTGCTCCATTACGTCTCAGAAAAGAAGGGAAGTTTGGGTCCAGAGAAGTGATCACAACAAGCGGATTGTCTCACCCAAAACCGGTCAACAAATCCGATGGAATAGCAGAAATCGGCTGTTTTGTGAAGACAGAGTCAGTGGGATGCTGGCTGGGTGAGAGCTGTATTGTATTGTATTGTGGTTCTTTCAAATCACCTATCCTAGGAAAGTAGGAATAAATATTATCTTCAGTACCCCAAAAAAAAAAAACAAAAAAAAAAATGAAGAAGAAGAAGCAGCACATGTCCACACCATGCTGTCGGCGCGTGTGTCTAATCTCTGTATATTGTATTATTATTGGTTTATTTATGGATTTACATATAATAATAATAATTATAATGACTTTGATTTGTTTAACTTACTTAGTTACTTACTAATTATAACTAAGTTAGAAGTAGTCTTAGATTCCGAATCCACTCCAAAGATAAAGATGCTAACAGAACAGAATAGTGGGGATAAGTAGGATAAAAAGGAAAACCAAAAAGCTCTCAAGATTTCCGTAATCAAGTGAGATGTACGCTTTAAGAATGGAAGGTTTGCAATTTTGCATCTTTATATTGTTGCTGACTAGGATAGGATCACCTCAAACCCACGAGGCCTCTATTGCGTGGCAGCTGATTATTGGCCTGGTGGGCCCACGCCTTTCTCCCGTGGCAAAACCCAATTGCTTTTCCCATCCATCCATACAATTAAATTAATAGGAACTGCTATTGACGATTTGAGTCAATCAACTATAAACCTGTATACTTTCTTATAGTCTTTTGCCGGCAGGCTAAAGTCACAAGACAAAGTTAAATCAATGCATATTCTCGAATAATAGCTGAGAGTTTTCTCGTCACTCAAAAAAAAAAAATAGTGATATTGATTAAATAACAATGAGTAGTTGGAGTATGAACAAGATGGTAATGCCAATACAAATGTGTGAGGTCACAGAGATTACAGGATGGATGATGAGTATCATCCATTTGAGCTTTTATCGCCTCCTGAGTTAGAGCTTTGAAAGGGTAGTTTTTTCATTTTTGTACATGGTGGTGTACGTACGTAAGATTCACATTTCTTCCAACTAGAACAAAACCGCCTAATTCTAAAACTGAGTCCATCATTTTCTCCTCTGCTATCTTTGCCTACCATGTGCAGCCTGCAACCTTAGCAGAATCAACGACAACCCATCACAAACACCTCTTACCATCAGTAATACACAAGCCGCTTCACGCCACAGCTATTCCCAATACAAGAGTTAGATACTTTCATTCACACGAAACCCAAATTCCATTAATATCTGCACTTGTCACCTTATGTATATCTTGCACGCTCTGCATCTCATCACACGCTTACTGTGATGATGCTGTTGCCTTCGCTGTTTTATCAAATGCAGAGGGATAGCGAAGGCCAGATCCTATGTGTCCTGTTGTGGGGAACAGCCAGCAAAGGACATTTGGGCCTAGAACCTGCCAGACAAACAAAAGATTGAAGCCATATGCAACAAAGTTGGTGTGTTCTCCTTGAATTCAAGCAAAAAGTACAGGTCTTCATTAACAAGGAAGGTAAGAGAAGCAGGAAGATTAAAAGATAAGGGGAGGCAATTTCTTACTGATATAATATTCTCATATGCACCAAGATCATATGGATGCGAATAGAGATAGCCCCCCTTTTCAGCAAGCCACATAGCTCTTACACCTTCATGGTACTGTTGAATGTAGCATCAAAAGAGTAACTCTCAGCAAATTCAACAGGCCACTTATGAACCAGAATAAAATATAGACCTTAGATCAACAAACCTCAATTGTAGTCTTGTTTTGCAAAATGAGGTAGATATGCCATCCAAGAAAAAATGTCAACGCTAGGCTTAAGGGAACTAGTAAGAGACCTGAAATAATCTGGTACAGCGTACAGGAAATCGTTAATTAGCAAAGTGCCCACAAGATTAGGATCAAACAGATTGGAAATTTGGAATAGACATTACATATACAGTTCTGTCAGAGCCTCTACTCTGCAGCTCATCCTCGTCAGATTCAGTGGCTAGGCTACCAACAAGCAGAACCTTGAAAATAAAAGTGAAAGTTTTACATCTCTGATGTCCCATTAGTAAGTCAAAGGCTGACAACAACATGTTTCCCATAACACGGCCCAGACTAAAACATGTAAGACACAAGGGAAATGAGGGATTTACTGGAAGGAAGAGGAAAAAGCAATAGGCAACAAAGAGAAAGATTACTAACTCACCAGTGAATATAGGCATGCAATAACAGCATAGACAACAAAGACGAAAAACGCCTTATAGTTTGCATGGCCCACACAATTATTCATCCATACGCAATGATGATCCTACAATTCAATAGGTTGCACTTTGAAACATTATCATGGAAATTTATAAAAGGCTTTTATGAAATCATATACCAGCCATACCATTCGTAAAACACATCTGTTACATACACGGCAGTGATGGGCACGAGGTGGCTTATAGAGGGCACACTTTTGGCAGTATCTCAAATCCCCACCCTACAAAAGATTTCATGGTAAGAGAGAACAAAAATCAGGTCCAACAAGTTCACATTCCATGCAATAGAGGCTAATTGGTATCCATAGAATCATAGAAGGTAGATTTATCACAGATAACAAAAATATTCCCTTGCCCAATAGGCCAATACACTGAATTGGAGTTCGAAGGAATGTTGAGAATGTTAATTTCCAAAAATGTTGGAAAATTGTCGATTTAAGGTTCATGAAGTGTTAGACTGCCAGTAGAAGGGATTTAAGAAATAACAAATGCAGCTGCCCTTCAAAGCCAATAGCAATATAACTGACCGAAGATTTGAACATGAAACAAACAAACAAAAAAGACACATCATGACTATCATGATCTATGGATTTTCAACTTCCTCAAATTCAAAATGCTTCATTAGATGCCCCAAAAAGAAAGAGCTCTGGCAAATTATGAACTTTTCGAGTGCCTTGAATTGCCCATTATACTGCCATTCGATATTTGAGGAATAAATTAATTAATTAAAGAGCAACATAACTTAGGACATTTACTTCTTCTTCCTGTGCACGTATTAAAGAAGGCTCTTTAACAGATGAAATACAAGCAATGCCATTCTTTTAGATAACAGCTTTATCAAATAATATAGACAAAAATGAAAAACTCATGAAGCACCACAAAACCAAAGCTTTTCCTACCAAAAATTCAATAATCCTTTCAAATCAGCAAATGAAACACTCCACGGTCAAATAAAGGATTAATTTCGAACCAGTTACACAAATTTTAAAGAAAAAGAAAAAAATGGCCGTTTACAAAAACGTTAAAAATAAAAGTTCTCCCCGAATTGAAAGAATATGCAAGAGATTAATTTACTATTTCAATGAAATTGATCTTTAACAGGAACATTCCTATGTTCTGCTTTCGTTCTATTTCAGCTAATATCAACATAACAGAAACAGGAAAACGCATAATCACGAAAAATGTAATGGAGGAAGAAAGAAAAAAGAAGACCTTGCGCTTGATCTCGTGGATTGTGTTATGAGGATCTTCAATGTCGGGTAAGAATGAGGCGGGGACCCGACCCGGGTCAGTGTATATGGCAAGGCGGTAGTTGGAGACGCAAAGAATAGCAAAGACGGTGAAGACAGCGGCGTTTAGCATTCCGGGCGAGGACGCGAGACCGAACCACCGGTCTATGAATACAAACACCGTCGAGAAGTAAATGAAAGCGATGGCCGATACGACGACGCTGACGTAGAGAGAGAACCGGCAACCACGCGCCATTTTCATTTTCATTTCAATTGAAATTCTGGCAATCTAGGTCGTCGTCTCCGGCGGCGGAAGCGGAGACCCCGGCGTAAAGAGTTTTACGACGGCGTCCCCGGCGAGATGGGTCGGGCGGGATCTAGAAAAAAAAAAAAAAAAAAAAAAAAGAAAGAAAGCGCGATGGGTATTTGGTAACTCCGGCCCGGACAACTTTAAGTAGGTATTCTCTTCTGTTGTCTTGACTCTTGATTATGCCCTTATGCTTCCTTCAGCCTGAGGACTTTTTCTCTCAACTCAACTATATTTTACTCCGTTATTATTTTTGTTTTCTACATCCTGATAAAATTACTATTTTCTAATAATAAATAATAAATTCAATACAAAATTACACATTTAAATTTAAATAATATGTTTCATAATTTTGATTGAAAAATATTTAATTACCATTTCTTGAACAATACTTACAAAAACCTTAGGAATAAAGTTGTGTCACTAGGAAAATTTCCATCATCATTTAAAAATAAATTGGTCTCTAAGTTATTAATTTAACAGGGGAAAAAATCCATAATTTTATTAGATAAGATTTATCTTTTTTACTAATTATGTTAAGTTGTAGTAGTATAATATTATGCATTATTGGATACTTGAGAGTAAAACATTTTTGAGTGTCCACATGTTTAGAAATTGGAGGTCATGAGTTTGAGCCTAAGTGGGATAGTAGTGACTCTTTGTGATTCAGTTGGTTGATAAAATAGTTATGGACAAATACTACATTATTCTAATAGGGTCAGTAGTACTCAACAAAAATTTTGAAAAAACAATTATTTATTTCTTTTTTCCTTTTTAACTATTTGATCTGATTAATTTTTTTTTTTTTTTAATTTTAGAAAGAAGCCAACAAAATAGGTCGATAAAAAAAAAAAATCTCCTTATAGATATATAGTTAGTGCGTTGGTTTGAAATTTGATATGGTTGGTGGCATAGATTATATAGACCTATAATTTGAACAACCATGTTCAATTCATAAATACAACAAACCTAACAAGTTTCTTCAAGGTCGTCTGATAAATTATTGCTCACAACAGCCATAGTTTTTGACTTAAATTTATTGTTACCTAATACCAATAAATTTTAAAAATTAAATCCTTAGCATTATAATAAAATATTATCATTTGTATCAAGATTTTGAAATATTTAAATAAATAAATATACTTTAAATATTTTTACCCACTCTACCTATTTCTCTTCTTAAACTTCTCTAAAAAGACATTTAATTTGATCTTAGATTTCTACCGTACGTCATCTAAGGAGAAGATAGAAAAGAAAAAAAAAAAAAGAATTAAAAAGGTAGAAGAAAAAAATAAAAAATTGTATCGTTCTGAACTATGTTGTTACATTGTATGCATGGTGCATTTCCGCATTTGTAGA